GTTTTTTTTAACCCAATTTTTTTTTTTTTTTTTTTTTTTTTTTTTTTTTTTTTTTACATTATTCTTAGAGTGAATTTGTAGCATTTCTCGAAACGCTTCATGTTATGCGCTTTGAGTACCCAGAAAAGCGCTATATAAATGTAACTAATTAATTAATAATCAATTAAACCCATAAGGCCATTAAGCCATTTTCACACCTATGAAAAATAAGTACACCTTAGCATACTTTTAAAAAAGAGTTCTTATTATGGAAATAGTATACTTTAAAAGAGTCTTGATTTTGTTTTGGGGGTGTACTAGAACATGCTCTCATGCTTGGTCGTTAGAATAATGCATTATGTGAAAAATAATGCGTTTATTTCCACAAACGGCTCGATTAGTTCCGGCTTTGATGAAGGTCCAACTTCCGAAAAACAAAATGTGTTGTGATTGGTTAGCTGTCCCAGTGCGTTGTGATTGGCTAACAGCTTAGACGGTGTTTCAGTACTGCAACGCCCCCTTGCTCCGTCTTTCAACAAAAACTTTTTGGGCGAATCCGGCAGGCACTGTACTCCCTCGTGTTGTGGAAGCTGTCCCCAGTAAAATGCGCAGCCCACAATAGCAAATTGGGGTTATAATGCATTAATAAATTGCAACCACTGTTTCCTGACATCATCTGCTTTCGGAAGCCCAAACAAAGACGTTTGGGCATGGAGGTGAAAAAAACAGCATTTCAGGCGGTCACGCACCGGACGAAAAGCGCAGCGCAGCGTTGCGTCGTGCCATATCTTTAAAATTCAAATACATTATTTTCTATGAGTGTAGGCACACCGGCGTCTGTCCGCGGCGCCCAGCTACGTCGTGTTGTACTTGTAAGAATTGTTCTAGACATGCCAAAAATTTGTTTTCTCTGATGCACTAACTCTGCAGCAGCACTTCTTCTTCGTCGTCTCGTCTGATGCACTCATTCAACCAAGCGTTCTAACCACAACCTCGCTCCTCCCCACCCCCCAACCATTCGAATTTCTGTAGGCGAGATTTATTTGTAATAATATTCCAATGAGCCTCTTTGTGATATCACAAAGCCCAGAAAACAAACACTGTAGTCCAAACGAGTCGTTCGTTGTAGTTCTTGAAAAGTGATTTTTTAAAAACAAAATAACTCCCTTTGGAGTGGACTTTGAGATTTGTAACTTTCTAGATTTAGATTTTCTTTTTTATGCCCAAACATACACACTACACACTGACTAAAATTAAAAACCTGAAAAAGCATAATAGGACCCCTTTAATGTAATTTCTATTGAAACTTGAATGTCATCTGTTTAAATGTGTTTGTATCTACACATTCGTAAACAAGTTGCAATTTAGTACATTTCAAATATATTTACTTTACATGTAAAATCAAATAACACACTAAAGTTAAAATTATAATTAAGTGCTTTACTTGTGCTTTGTTAGTCAATGCATCAGAATAAGTGTACTTCTTTTAAATCGTGTTAAAGATGATTAAAACAATGATTTAAAATGTACTTTAAAGTGAAACTTTTAATTTGACATTTTGACAAAGTGCACTTTTCATGTGTACTTAAGTGTGTTAAGAAACCTGTGAAAGTGTCCTCTTTAAATACACTTCAGTGGCTTTTTATTAGATGTAATATTTTATTATTTGCAAGTACAGTTTTTTGAAATTATACTTACGATTTGAAGTACACTCGATACAGTTAAGCGCGCTTCTTTTTCCCAGGTCAGGGGCTTCTTAAAACGGAGGGCACCTATTTGTAGGAGTACAGGCCGGTTCACTTCTGTCCATTTGGTTTGTTGCTTCTGCATGCTTTTAGCTCAGATTAGAATTTTTATGCAATCAGTGCTAAGCAGGAGATTTGCGGACAGCTGGTAATCTCTTCTTATCTTTCCTTTGCTTTCTCTATGCTTCTCTTCTCATACGTAACATGCAAAATTGCTCCACACATTGGGGAAGTCGTGGCCTAATGGTTAGAGAGTCGGTCTCATAACCCAAAGGTTGTGGGTTCGAGTCTCGTACCGGCAGGGATTGTAGGTGGGGGGAGTGAATGTACAGCCCTCTCTCCCACCTTCAATACCATGACTGAGGTGCCCTTGAGCAAGGCACCGAACCCCCAACTGCTCCCCGGGCGCCGCAGCATAAATGGCTGCCCACTGCTCCGGGTGTGTGTTCACGGTTTGTGTGTGTTCACTGCTGTGTGTGTGCACTTTGAATGGGTAAATGCAGAGCACTAATTCTGAGTATGGGTCACCATACTTGGCCACATGTCACTTCACTTTTACTTTTATCTCATCCTTGATTGTGCACGCTATTTCTCTTTCACCGTGCTTTTTCCAGTCACCATCATTGCTCTCTCTTTATCCTGAGCTTCATTTGAAGGTCTGGCAGCTGTACTGGAACAGATTAATGTTTCAATCTCTCAATCGTTGTTGATCCCCTGACCCACATGACGGCATAAATCACTGAAAAAGGGACAGGTCTGAAGCTGTGCTGAGGAGTTAGGATTCCCCCTCCCTCACCAGAGTACACACAGATACGCATTATAACGGCTGAGCATGAGAAATCATCGGAGGGATCAGAGAGACAGAAAATACAGATTCGAATAAGCTGAATGTTATGAATTTTTACACAAAATGGAAAATAGATTGTTTTATATGACCTTGTTTATGGTAAACCCACAGAAATCTGCAGATTTATGCAGAATTTAATGGGCTTGATGCTTCTGGCTGAAAGCACAACCAAATTATCCTCAATATTAAGTTTTAAGTTCAAGTTTTTTTAATGCGTTATATTTAATCACATTTTAAATGTATCGTTTTAATTAATACATTTTTTAATTCATTATTCTGAAATGATTTAAGAAATAAGTTTTATTTCTCTTTATCATAACTAAAACACTTTGACTTGATTTGGGCCTGAATGTGCAGAATTTTATTAATGACAGGTATTCCATTTGTGTAAATTCTGTGCAGATTCTATATTTGCCTACCTGGAATATTGTCATTGTGTGTTTGTGTTGAGAACCTTTTTGAGCATTAGGGCATTGATGCTGTGAAATCTAGATTCCTAATGCATTTTTTCCCTATTATTTATTTTCTTTTAAGAGTTAACCAAGATCAGATTGGTTGGGATGTCACTTTTGTAAGACATGTATCTTCTTACGCTGGCATTATAGCCCATGAAATATTTGGCTCAGCTGTGCAACAAGCCGAATGATCTCAGCAGCTGTTAGATTATGAAATTAATTTGAGATTACTGCCTGGCAATGAATATGATATTATGCTGACTTTGATTACTTGTAAAGTGCTCCCTCTTGTGTTCAAACTATGCATATAAAAGGCTATTAAATATGTCGGGATGTAGTATTAACGGAATGTTACATATTCAATACAATCTATACTAACAGCATAATGTTGATTATCACAGAAAACTGTCAGACATTAAAAAAAGTCATGCTCACAGTAAGGTAATTTTAATGAAAATTCACCAGGCAATAAAACATACACTGTATATAAAATGTATGGCCAAAAAACTTAAAATACATGTTGGCATGAGACTAGTGGGTTATATTCAATCTTTACAGGAATTAACAGGAATTAGACATCCATCTTAAAGTAGTTCTACTTTAAAAGGATGATTTGGAAAGCTCAACTAAAGCAGGATTTTACTGAATAATTCATGTAAGTGCTTTAATAAAGCTACAAGTTTAACATAAACGGTCTGGAACGGACTGTGTGCTTCCTTTGTGCACTGTGTGCAAAGTGTTTTATTTATTTTATTTACTTACATCCAATTTTATTTATTTACATATTTTATTTATTTTACATCAAAAGTTTGGGGTTGGTAAGATTTATTTTTAAAGAAATTAATACTTTTATTTACAGGAATGCATTGAATTGATCAAAAGTGACAGTAAAGAAGACATTACAGAAAGATTTCTCTTTCAAATAAATGCTGTGCTTTTGAATTCATCAAAAATCTTGAAAAAAATTTATTAAAAGTTTCTGCGAAAATGCTAAGCAGCACAACTGTTTTCAACATTAATAATAAGAAATGTTTCTTGAGTACAAAATCATCATATTAGAATGATTTCTCAAGGATTATTTGGCACTGAAGACTGGAGTGATGATGCTGAAAATTCATCTTTGCCATCACAGGAATAAATGACCTTTTAAAATATATTAAAATAGAAAACAGCCATTTTAAATTGTAGTATTATTGTTTTTACTGTATTATTCATCAAATTAAGCCTTGGTAAGCATAAGAGACTTTTCAATAACATATACCGACCACAAACCATTGAATAATAGTGTATTCATTTTAAATGAGTTGGGACAAGTCAGAATTATCTTCTGTGATAAACAACATCATGACGCAAATGCTAAATTTTGAACCAGGAACATTCCTTTAATTCTGAGTTTTGGTTCCTGAGCAGAGCCAACTGCGACCGTTTTAGTTTCTCATTTGGAAGTCTATGGGTTCTTCATGACATTGTCTGTGATTTTCCCATCCCCCCCCCACCCCCCCACCTTGCAGGTGACTGGTTGGCTGCTGTACCATCATTCTACTCCTGGGGATTTCCTGTCACGTGACCATATTCCTGCTTCACCTCCACTCCTAGTATGGAACTCAACAAAGTCCAGTCAGAGGGCGGGCTGAATGTGACCCTGACCATCCGGCTTCTCATGCACGGCAAGGTAAGTTGAGCCCGCAGAGCAGTACAGAGGGAAGTGGATGGGGGTGGGCTTGTGATGTCACTGCTGTGTGCCTCAAGGATCTGTCCTCTCCTGACCCACTGTTTCAGGCCAAGGTGAGTCAGGGGTTGTCAGTATCAGTGACCTTTTAGATTAATTAAATATCCCTAAACAAGGAATTAATATAAAATATTTCAATTTTCATGGGGAAATGTGTTCATATACAATTGTGAATGCTTACGCTTGCAATGACTTTATTGGTTCTTTGTTTTTGTTTTTTTGCAGGAAGTGGGAAGCATCATTGGAAAGGTATGTTAGATACTGACATTGTGTGTGTGTGTGTGTGTGTGTGTGGGTGTAGTTGAGCATCGAGAGTAAAACGCTGACCTTATATCCGAAGAAGAGCCAGTTGGGATATGGACAATCCTCCAGCAAAACCCTCAAAACCATCATGATGTGCACAGGCCCAAAACACAAATAAAGGGTCAACAAAATGCATCCAAGAAGCCTGAAGACATGCCGGCGCTCCATCGATCCAAGCGTTTGGTTTCTCTTCACATCCGAACATATCCGCCAATAACAGAAACCCACAACCAATGCAGGAATGAGGAAGCCTACAACAAAACGAGCAACGTTGACTATTCTTTGCCTTTGGGGCAAAGGAAATAAATCCAAGCAGATTGAGTTTTCCACATCGTAGATACTGTCTGGATGCACGGTTATTGCATTGAATACAATAGTAAAAATCCAAGCAGCAATGCTCATGCTGACTGCAGTCTTGCGCTTTCTAAAAGTGCAAAATTTGAGCGGGTAAACGATTGCTAAGTAGCGATCCACCGCGATGCAGCTCAGAAGCATAGCGCTGGTGTAGAAGTTTGTGAAGAGCAGGAAAACACAAACAATACACATCGTCTTGCCGTGAGGCCACACATCGTAAAGACAGAATTGAACCCACACTGGTAAACACATGATAAACAAGAGGTCAGAGAGAGCCAGGTTAAACAGATAGACGCCCAGCTCGTTCTTCTGACAGATAAGCCGATACGACACAAACAGGAAGAAGACATTGGACGGGATGCCGATCAGGATCACAGTTAGTTGCAGGCCTACGAATACCATCTTTTCAGGATGTGCAGACGGGTAGCAGTCATCTGTTTCATTTGGGCTGGAGTTGTTCATCAATTCGACCATTATGTTAATCTCAAGGCAGCTAGTTTAGAGATAAACATTAGTTACTTTGTGTGATAGTTTTACTTCACAGTAGAATAGCAATTATGAACCAAATTATTCATGCAAAACTGTGGTTCATTCAACATGGCTCCAAACCTCTTTTCTTGCTACTCTTTTCTATAAGTGAATGTGGACAGATGCTGTCATGGTCAAAAATGGTGAAAAAAAATAAAAATAAAGTCACCTAGGGTCATATGATAGCAGATTTAGAAGTTTTTAAAAATTTCAATAAGAGTTTTTAATTTTAAATTTAGATTTTTAAAATTTAGATTGTTCTGTTCACCAAGGCTGCATTTATTTGATTATAAATATAGTAAAAAAAGTAATATTGTGAAATACTATTACAAAAATAGCTATTTTGCTATAATAGCAAATATGAATATATTATAAAAGGCCATTTATTTCTGTAATGCAAAGTGTCACATGATCCTTCAGAAATCATTCTAATATGATTTCTGATTTCTGATTAGAATTATCAATGTTGGCAACAGTTGTGCTGCCAAATATTTTGTTGGAAACTGCAATACTTTTTTCAGGATTATTTGATGAATAAAAAGTTAAAAAGAACAGCATTTATTCAAAGTATAAATATTTTCTAACAATATAAATCTTTGCTATCACTTCTTATCAATTTAACACATCCTTACTGAATAAAAGTTTTCATTTCTTTCAAAAAAAGAAAGAATCAAAATTTACTGACCCCAAACTTTTGAACTGTAGTGTATATTGTTAGAAAAGATTTATATTTTAAATAAATGCTCTTATTTTTAACTTTTTATTCATCATAGAATCCTGAAAAAAAGTATCACAGGTTTAAAAATATTAAGCAGCACAATATTTTCCAGCACTGATAATAAATCAGCATATTAGAATGATTTCTGAAGGATCATGTGACACTGAAGACTGGAGGGTAATGATGCTGAAAATTCAGCTCTGCATCACAGGAATAAATTAGATTTTAATGTATATTAAAAATAGAAAAACTTTATTTTACATCATAATACTATTTCACAATATTACATTTTTTCCTGTATATTTGATCAAATAAATGCAGCCTTGATAAGTATAAGAAACTCCTGTAAAAAACATAAAAAAATGTTCTGATCCCAAACTTTTGACCGGTAGTGTAGATTGATAGATATAGTATATTAAATATATTCAGTATATTATATATGTGTGTATATGCGTATTTTAAGCACTTAATCTAAATATTCTGCTCTTCTTTTTGCTACAGAAAGGGGAAACTGTGAAGAAGATGCGTGAAGAGGTATGTTTTTGTTTTGCTAATTTGTTTGATGTTCTGTTGAGAATAACTTTTTTTAATCACACCGACCTCAGTGTTGTTTGTGTAAAAATAATAATAGTGATTTGAAATGAACCTATTTCACTTTTTTTAAGATGGGATAGAGGAAAGTAGTTTACAATTGCACCTTTAAGTGTGTTTTTGAGCTGTTAAAAGGGTCTTGAAGTCTCTAAGATGCAAAGCAGAACAAGAATATGAGGGTTATTTTGACTTTTGACATCCTACAGAGCGGCGCTCGCATCAACATCTCAGAGGGAAACTGTCCTGAGAGGATCGTAACCATCACTGGACCCACAGATGCCATCTTTAAGGCCTTCGCTATGATCGCATACAAGTTTGAAGAGGTGCTGGTCGGATACAATATATGAAAATCTCACTTAACTCAAACTAACCACTTTGACAAAACTGACCAACATGTTTTGATGTTAACAGTAATGGTATACACTACTGTTCAAAAGTTTGTGGTCGGTAACGTGAAATGAACCTATTTCACTTTTTTTAAGATGGGATAGAGGAAAGTAGTTTACAATTGCACCTTTAAGTGTGTTTTTGAGCTGTTAAAAGGGTCTTGAAGTCTCTAAGATGCAAAGCAGAACAAGAATATGAGGGTTATTTTGACTTTTGACATCCTACAGAGCGGCGCTCGCATCAACATCTCAGAGGGAAACTGTCCTGAGAGGATCGTAACCATCACTGGACCCACAGATGCCATCTTTAAGGCCTTCGCTATGATCGCATACAAGTTTGAAGAGGTGCTGGTCGGATACAATATATGAAAATCTCACTTAATCTCAAAAAAAATCTCAAACTAACCACTTTGACAAAACTGACCAACATGTTTTGATGTTAACAGTAATGGTATACACTACTGTTCAAAAGTTTGTGGTCGGTAACGTTTTTTAAATGATTTTTGAGTGAAAGTCTCTTATGCTCACTAAGGCTACAAGTCAATCAATCATTTATTTCTATAGCACATTTAAAGTTGACCAAAGTGCTTTACAGACCCATACTTACAAAACATATACACATACACACCATAAAGCACAACAAAACACTAAACAAACCCCACATAGCTAAGAACAGTTAAATGCAGCAGAGAAGAGATGGGTCTTCAACATAGATTTAAAACACTCAATGGAGTCATAGGATTTAATATGTACAGGGAGGCTGTTTCAAAGACACACGCAAATGCAGTAATACTATGAAATATTATTACAAACTGTTTTCTATTTTAATATATTTTAAAGTGTATTTTAGTCATGTAATGGAAAAGCTGAATTTTCAGCATAATTACTCCAGTCTTTAATGCCACGTGATCCTTCAGAAATTATTTTAATATGAAGCTTGACTTTTGCCCACCTTGTTTCTGGTTTATGGATTAGACAGTTTGAGCTCAACAACACACAGCCTAGAGAATACAAATCTTCAAGCGCTGGGGTCTCACAACATCTGTGCTCCTGCTTTACCACACAAACACTCCACCACACACACCTGTCTCCTGGTCTAACGTTGTTTCTGCCTCTTACCTCTTCCCCTCTCCTAGTCCCCACCGAAAGGTGCCACCATTCCCTACCGCCCAAAGCCCGCCTCCACCCCTGTCATTTTTTCAGGTGGCCAGGTAAGAGCCGATCCGCTGGCGGCATCTGCAGCCAACCTCAGCCTTTTACTGCAGCACCAGCCACTGCCTGTTAGTTCACTCAGGTTTTCTCACCTTCTCACTGGCATGTTGTCACACCATCCTAACCAGGGAAATGCTTGCAGAGAGAGAGAGGAGCTTTAGATTGTCAATGAGAGTTCAGATCCATAAGGAGAGTCTGCTCTTCTGCCATGACATAGTTCAGTGCAGCAGCACTGCCTTTTACTGCTATCCAAAAAGTGAATTTTAAGCAAATATGGAATGAAATGAATGCATATTTTTCATGTTTTTGTCTTTCTGCTGTGGTAATGCATTCTAAGAGGTTTTAGCAGGTTTTAGTTCGCTTTAAATTCACTTTGCAAATTACATGCATTTGTGTGAAGTTATGTGCATTTTGAACTCAAGTACTTCAGTTTATTTTCATTTTTGTATTCCAAAATTTTTGTCCCATTACAGTTACCATAAAAAGATAAAGCATGAAAGCATTTGGAATGAGCATATTTAAAAATCATGCAAAACAAAGGCTTGATGATTTTAAACTGACTGCCTGAAAATTCAGTCAAAGTCAATAAATTAAGACAAATATATTATTATTGCATATTAATATTCTTATTTTTCTTAAGCCTATTTTTGAACCAGAAATCGAAATGTTGGGGTGCACTAACATACAGAGTAATGATTCAAATGTAATTATTCTCTTCAGGAAATCAACCTTCAAAAACCTTAGAAGTCTTTGCATATTCAACTGGTGTAGAAAGATTATATTTCAACATTGAAAAATAGAAAATTGCATACCTCACCTTTACATGGCAATAAATGCGTTTTTGGCTGCTTTGAGTGTATTTTAATTCTAGATCGATGTTCTTCACTCTTATTGCAAAATAAACTCCTCCCTCTCAGAGCAAATATCATATCCTTTTAATATTTTCAAAGCTTAAAGTGTAACATCTCAGGATGTGATAGAGTTTGTCGACCTGGATTTGCATTAATTTGAGATTCCAATAAAATTTGAAATGTCAAGTTATAAATATTGAAGGGATATGCTATCAAACGTTTTTTTCAAAGTCATCCCCACTCATTCACTAACCAACACAAAATACAATGCGTTTGTAATTTTTTCCCCCCTGCTAATCTAACATTCCTTTGATGATGAATAATAATATCCTTTAACAAAGCTCTCAGCATCTTTTTAACGTAACTCATTCACAGGCACTTCAGCTAACATAATCGTAGATGGCACATCATGGCTTTTTACATGAAATACAACATGATTATCAGTTTTACACTTTAAACTTATGTTCTTTTATCTCTTATTTTTTAAAATATAAAAAGAGGTCCAGAATTGTATGTACTGTAGAAAACTTGGTGAAGGATGTTATATATTCATCTATTCAGATGATTCAGAAATAGATTTGCTTTTATTGTCGGGTATATTTACCTACTCAAGGAATGTGTTTGTTATTTGAAGACTGTATGAAATATATTTTTAGCATAGTGTGCACTTGCACTCAAGTAGACGCACAGATATGAAAAGCCAGGAGTGTTGTAAATTATTTAAAGTGCTGAATATTATTACTGTATAACTAGTCATAAAAAATGATTCACATAAAATATGAACGAAAATTCAGCTTTTGAACCAAATGTTCCTTTAAAATATTAACAGATCCTTTAGCAGTTATGAATCAGTTAGTTCTTATGTTTATTGGGCCCTGCAGCCTTGTAAAAATGTTGATTTGAATTTTTCTTCTCTCTCCGTCTTCACAGGCCTACACAATTCAGGGACAATATGCCATTCCACACCCAGATGTGAGTCCCCAGCCATCCACCCTCTTCCCCCCTAGCACCGTCAATAGTCCGCATGGCTATATGTACTTTCAGCGTGGACCTCTCTATTAATATTAAGCAGTAATATTAATATGATGTTACTGATGTGTAATTTTTGTCGCATTACAATCTGAAAATATTCTCAACCTCAGCCCTCCAAAATGTAAACCAAACTTCTAAGGACTTGGCCTGTTGGAGGAAATGACAGTCTTTGTCATTTTCTAGATGGTCTGCATAGAATTACATACAAGACTCACGCTGAGGTCATTCGAAAGTGACGTGGTTACCTAATCCAGATGCATATTTTTCATGTTTTTGTCTTTCTGCTGTGGTAATGCATTCTAAGAGGTTTTAGCAGGTTTTAGTTCGCTTTAAATTCACTTTGCAAATTACATGCATTTGTGTGAAGTTATGTGCATTTTGAACTCAAGTACTTCAGTTTATTTTCATTTTTGTATTCCAAAATTTTTGTCCCATTACAGTTACCATAAAAAGAGAAAGCATGAAAGCATTTGGAATGAGCATATTTAAAAATCATGCAAAACAAAGGCTTGATGATTTTAAACTGACTGCCTGAAAATTCAGTCAAAGTCAATAAATTAAGACAAATATATTATTATTGCATATTAATATTCTTATTTTTCTTAAGCCTATTTTTGAACCAGAAATCGAAATGTTGGGGTGCACTAACATACAGAGTAATGATTCAAATGTAATTATTCTCTTCAGGAAATCAACCTTCAAAAACCTTAGAAGTCTTTGCATATTCAACTGGTGTAGAAAGATTATATTTCAACATTGAAAAATAGAAAATTGCATACCTCACCTTTACATGGCAATAAATGCGTTTTTGGCTGCTTTGAGTGTATTTTAATTCTAGATCGATGTTCTTCACTCTTATTGCAAAATAAACTCCTCCCTCTCAGAGCAAATATCATATCCTTTTAATATTTTCAAAGCTTAAAGTGTAACATCTCAGGATGTGATAGAGTTTGTCGACCTGGATTTGCATTAATTTGAGATTCCAATAAAATTTGAAATGTCAAGTTATAAATATTGAAGGGATATGCTATCAAACGTTTTTTTCAAAGTCATCCCCACTCATTCACTAACCAACACAAAATACAATGCGTTTGTAATTTTTTCCCCCCTGCTAATCTAACATTCCTTTGATGATGAATAATAATATCCTTTAACAAAGCTCTCAGCATCTTTTTAACGTAACTCATTCACAGGCACTTCAGCTAACATAATCGTAGATGGCACATCATGGCTTTTTACATGAAATACAACATGATTATCAGTTTTACACTTTAAACTTATGTTCTTTTATCTCTTATTTTTTAAAATATAAAAAGAGGTCCAGAATTGTATGTACTGTAGAAAACTTGGTGAAGGATGTTATATATTCATCTATTCAGATGATTCAGAAATAGATTTGCTTTTATTGTCGGGTATATTTACCTACTCAAGGAATGTGTTTGTTATTTGAAGACTGTATGAAATATATTTTTAGCATAGTGTGCACTTGCACTCAAGTAGACGCACAGATATGAAAAGCCAGGAGTGTTGTAAATTATTTAAAGTGCTGAATATTATTACTGTATAACTAGTCATAAAAAATGATTCACATAAAATATGAACGAAAATTCAGCTTTTGAACCAAATGTTCCTTTAAAATATTAACAGATCCTTTAGCAGTTATGAATCAGTTAGTTCTTATGTTTATTGGGCCCTGCAGCCTTGTAAAAATGTTGATTTGAATTTTTCTTCTCTCTCCGTCTTCACAGGCCTACACAATTCAGGGACAATATGCCATTCCACACCCAGATGTGAGTCCCCAGCCATCCACCCTCTTCCCCCCTAGCACCGTCAATAGTCCGCATGGCTATATGTACTTTCAGCGTGGACCTCTCTATTAATATTAAGCAGTAATATTAATATGATGTTACTGATGTGTAATTTTTGTCGCATTACAATCTGAAAATATTCTCAACCTCAGCCCTCCAAAATGTAAACCAAACTTCTAAGGACTTGGCCTGTTGGAGGAAATGACAGTCTTTGTCATTTTCTAGATGGTCTGCATAGAATTACATACAAGACTCACGCTGAGGTCATTCGAAAGTGACGTGGTTACCTAATCCAGTGGTTCTCAAACTTTTCAGACCATGGAGTATCACCTTTGATTAGTGTAAAGGAAATTCGCCATTCAAGCAAATCAGCATTTCTGTGAGAAACATAATGCCTTTTTGCGGTTCAGTGGAAGAACTAAAAAGCATCATTTGTTTGCAGAGGCAACTGGATTTGAGGTTATATTGACATTTTATATGTTGAATTGCAAATGTAGTTTTGATTTTGATCTTAAAATGTCTCCTGTCTATGTACAAAAGCCTGGAAATCCTCTGTCAAACTTGTTACATTATTGATAGGAGCATCAAAACCAGGCAAACAGAGTGATATCTCCACTTTTTCTTGTTTTTCGTTACAGCTTGAGAATGATTATCACTTTATCACTTTTCTATTGGCATCTTACCTGTTGCATTATGGTTTTACATGCATAAAAATTGTACACTAAATTTCCAAAGTTTGGAGTCAGTAAGATTTTTTGAAAGAAGGAAAGAAAGAAAGAAATTAATACTTTTGTTCAGTATGGACTTAATAATTCAGTTGTTCAAAAGTGAAATTTTTAATGTTACAAAATATTTATATTTCAAATAAATGCTGTTATTTTGAACTAGCTATTCATCAAAGAATCCTGAAAAAAAATGTATCATGGTTTTCAGGAAAATATTAAGCAGCTCAGCTGTTTTCAACATTGATCATAAAAATAAATGTTTCTTGAGCAACAAATCAGTATAATAAAATGATTTCTGAAGGATCGTGTGACACTGAAGACTGGAGTAATGGCTGCTGAAAATTCAGTTTTGCCAACACTGGAATAAATTACATTTTTAAATATATTAATATAGATTACAGTCATTTTAAATTGTAATAATATTTCACAATATTACTGTTTTTACTGTATATCTGATCAAATAAATGCAGCCTTGGTGAGCTTAAGAGACTTTTAACATTAAAAAATCTTTCCGACCCCAAACTCTTTAAAGTGCCCCTATTATGGGTAATGAAAGGTTCATATTTTGGTTTTGGGAGTCCCAAACAACAGGTTGACATGCATGCAAGGTCAAAAAACAC